ACAGCTGAGAGAAGCTGGGGGTGGGGAGAGTGGCTCGCACCTGCCACAGGATGTCTGGCCCAAATCCAGTCCCCCACAAGGCATGAGGTCTCCACGATTAATGCAACACAATAAGGAAGTAATACACCCCATCATTGAGGGACTGGGAGATTACTGAAATAGCATTATAGATCAACATCTTTATGTACTACATTATACTCACTACAAGTCTATTTCCATCCTTTATCATACAATTGACCCCTTTTACTCAAGTTCCCCACCCCAATCCCCCTTCCCTTTTGATAGCATTTCAGCCCTTTCTCTCTATCTCTTTCCTATTGACCTCTTAGACTTTATAACCTTTGAGGGAGCCTGTTCTATTTATTGTCTGCCTCTGTCTGCAGCTTACTTTTACAGACGAGGGCTGGTTAGCGAGTCCTTCCTTAGTTCCTTAAAGCCAGAGAAAGAGGATCTTTGACCCCTGTTTCTAAGCACAGTAAACAAAGGCCTTCTTGGCTGCCAGTAAACTCAAAGTGCTCATTAAGCAAGAAGTGTTCTGGCCAGTGGTTGGAATGACATCATGCTTCCTACTGGAATCCAACTACAGATAAAAATCAGGTCATTCCATTTACAAAGAGAGAATGAGCTCTTCTGCTACCAGAATTAGGGTTGCTGGTTTTCAGAGATCAAGGAAGAAAAAGAACTGATTTGAACTCAGGCTTTGAGAAGGCCCCTTACAATACCTGTCCGGAATTACTGATACTATGGAAGGTTTTCCACTCCAGATCACCTAGTGTCAGAGAGCACTTATCTTCTCTGGGTTTTCAAACTGAACATTTAACTTAGCGTTGCAGTGGGCAAGCAGGTCTGACTATCTGGTAATAAGATGACCCTTCAGAGCTCTAACACAGCCAGTAAATGGAAGAAACAGATTGTCTTCCTCTTTGGCACTGCTGCACACAATTTGGCATGGGGAAGACTTCTTAAAGAAACCCATTCAGCGTCCTTTAATATAAAACAAAACAAAACAAAAGTACTATTTTCACAGGGTGGTGATCTATATTCCATGGGAATTCACAAGATGGGAAGCATGAAAGGAGGGACATTATGGGTTAGTTACAACAATAGTCAGAATTATTTTTTAAATCTAAACTAAATCAGGTATAAAGAATCTTTTTCCAAATATCCTTTGCCACTAAGGAAGATCTGTAAACAACACCTCAACCCAGTGTGCAGACCTAAAATTTACAGATGATTTTATCAAAACAAGTAATCTACTTAATAAAAATAAAAGATAAAACCTCTACAAGATGAAAATTTTTAAATAGTCGATTATATTTTCCCGGGCTAGAGCAATAGCGTAGCGGGTAGGACGTTTGCCTTGCACAAGGCCGACCTGGGTTCGATTCCTCTGCCCCTCTCGGAGAGCCCAGCAAGCTACTGAGAGTATTCCGACCACACGGCAAAGCCTGGCAAGCTACCCGTGACATATTCGATATGCCAAAAACAGTAACAAGTCTCACAATGGAGATGTTACTGGTTCCCCCTCAAGAAAATCGGTGAGCAATGGGAGGACAGTGCTACAGGACAGTGCTACAGTGCTATTATATTTTTCCCAAAAGGAGAGAGAGAGGGGGGAGAAAGAGAAAGACAGAGATAGAAAGAGAGAGAAGAAAAGTGTCTGCCACAGAGGTAGACACAAGAAAAGTGTCTGCCACAGAAGTAGAATGGGTGTTGAAACATTATATAACTGAAACCCAATCATGAATTTCATTGTAACCACGTATCTCTATTTTAAAAATCACCATGTATATTTATTCATGTATATGGTGATTTTTAAAATATATATTTAAAAAAATGTTATAGTCTATTATGGGTTGGAGTGATAGCATATTGGGTAGGCGTTTGCCTTGCACACAGCCAACCCAGGTTTGATTTCTTCTGCCCTTCTCGTAGAGCCCGGCAAGCTAAGGAGAGTATCTTGCCCACACAGCAAAGCCTGGCAAGTTACCCATGACGTATTTCATATGCCAAAAACAGTAACAAGTCTCACAATTTGTTGTGAGACCTTACTGGTGCCCGCTAGAGCAAATCAATGAATAATGGGAGGACAGTGCAGTGCTATAACAGTCTATTATGTATTCTCTACTACACTAAAATGTGCACTAAAATGTGTTACGAAAATGCATTCAAAACATATTTGGCTGCAGATAAGTAGAATAAATTGTACATGTGTTAGCATTCATTTATTAATTGTATATGTATTTATTTACTGCCATGGCAGTACTCAGAGTCTTCTCCTGACTCGGTGGTCACTCTTGGCAGTTCTCTAGGAACCATGGAGTGTCAGGGATCAAACCTGGCCTCCTACATACAAAACCTGTGTTCAGTTTGTTTAGCAATCTCTCTGGCCCTAAAATAGTATTTTTAAACATACTACGAGCACATGTATCTCATCATTTACTGATTTATCAATAAGATTTTTTTATTCACTACCCTACACATTACTTGCAAACCACCCTAACATTCTCCAATTGTCTAGCACTTATTAAAAAGAACAACAACCAGTGTTGCTGTGAATGTAGGGAAAAGGGGTCCCTCATTCACTATTGGTGGGAATGTTGACTGGTTGAGTCTTTTGGGAAGACAATACAAATATTCCTCACGAAATTAGGAACTGAGCTTTTGGAAGAAAATTTGAATATTACCCAAAAATCTAAGAATTGTTCCTGCAATTATACTCCTGGAAATATACCCCAAGTGCCTAAAAATATAATGCAGAAAAGATATCTGTCCTCCTATGTTTATTGTAGCTCTATTCACAATAGCCAAAATCTCGAAACACTTCAGTGCCTAAGAACAGATGATTGGATAAAAAAATGCACAATAGAATACTACTTGGTCAATAAGAAAATACAAAGTCATACAGTTTGCTGCTACATGTATGGAACTGGAGAGTATCATGATGAATGAAATGAATAAGAGGAAGAGTGACAGAGTCAAAATGATCTCACTCATATGCTGGGTATAAAGACACATAGAAGAGGAATAACTAATGCCCCAAAAAATAGAAACAAAGTGCAGGAAAAATGGTCCTTAGTAGGAAGCTTGCCAAGTTGGGAGGAAAGGAGGGGTGAGGGTAGGTCAGGGAAGGGACAACAATGAGAGAGGGAAGTGATCACTCTGGTTCCAGGACAAGGTGTTTCAAGGTATGCATGATATACTGTCAGTAACAGTATTATAAACCACAGAGCCTAAAGAGGAAAAAAAAAGATAAAGCACCTGCCACAGAGGCAGGCTGAGGGGTGGGAGGGAAATCAGGACATTGGTGGAGGGAAGTAGATACTGGTAAAAAAGATTGGTGTCAGAACACTGTATGCCTGCATCTAAATCATAAATAACTGTATGAAGTTAATAATTAGTTAACTTTGTAAATAGCTAACTTTGTAATCCATGATGATTCAATAAAATATTGAAATAAAGTGAAAAGAAATTCTCCAGCTGCTCAGTATAATGGCCCTCAAGATGGAGATAAGTTAAGAAGGTATTGCATGGGGCCAGAGTGATAGTCTGGGGAAGGGAGGGCATTTGCCTTGCATGTGCCCAATTCAGGTTCCACCCTCAGCATCTCATATGTTCTCCTGAGCACTGCCAGGAGGAGTTCCTGAGTGCAGAGTCAGCAGTAACCCCTGAGCATCACTGGATGTGACCCCAAAAGCCAAAAAAAAGGAGTGTATTGGGTAACTTTTAAAAATAATTTTAGGGCATTTTTGAGTAAGTTCGTTTGGTGATAACATTATCTGAGTTATGGATTAAGGATTCAGACCTATACACAACTATAAAGTCAGAGTTTTTCTCTGTACAAAACTGATGTTGGTGCCAGGGAGATAGTTCAAAGGGCTGAAGCACATGCTTTGCATGTGGGAAACCCAGGTTTGATCCCCAACACCACATAGTCTTCTAAGCACCACACCAGGAGTAATCCTTTTTTTTGTGGCCAAAAAACCCCACTGGATCAGTGGCTCTCTGGCAGCACACCAAATTAGGAGCAATCCCTGAGCACTGACAGTTACGGTCCCTAAACCAAAAATATAAAAAACCTGTTATGGTGATACTTGTTCCTCTAAGTATTAGTATAGCTCAAAGGTTTTTTTTTTTTTACTCCTAATTTAGCAATGCAGGGCTTCACCCATTCAAGGAAAGTGGCTCACAGCCCCATCTAATTTAGTAATCTTATGTGACCGTTCCTTTTTCTACATACTGCATACATTGAATTAGCTTTGTTCTGCCAGCTCCTCACAAAAACTTACCTTATGCTATCTATTGCTTGAGAATTGTCTTAACAATTTGAAGTTCTCTTAACAATTTAAAATCTATGCTAAGCAATATATCCAGTACTGAACAGAATTTGAAATAGAAGTAATTTTATTTTTAACAAACGGACATATCACAGTTTAGGTTCCCAGAAGTAAACTTAGACAGCCAAGGACTGTAATACAGAAGCTTATTTTGGAAGTGAAGGGATGACTGGAAAGAATTAAGGAAGCAATACAGAGAAATGGAGAAAAAGGGTTTCAGAACAGGCCACCCTAAGCATGCCACTTTGTGATAACCTTTGCGTGTGATTTTTAGTTAAAGGTAATCAGGATCATGTAGTCTCTGGAGATGCCATTTTTCTTTCCTTTTACTTCAAAAAAGAAAGCGTGAATTACCCCACTGGTGGGGAAAATCTAAATTTACAAAGGAAATTTCCATTAAAAAGGTTCCTAGGCCAGAAAGAGAGCTACTACTAGAGAAAACTTTTTTCACCTGAGAGTTACCTGCACAGCAAGAAAATCTTTATTTACCAGACATTATTTCCCCCTCGCTTTCCCACACCCCTATTCAGTTCCTCAGCTCAGGATAAATCTCAATGTTCTGGCCCCCTGTTAAGTCTCAGATCTTTGTAAAACTCCCATGCCAGCATATGTAATGATTTTCTTTTCCTCTTCTCAATCTGTCAGTCAGTTGTGACTGTTTTCATTTATCACCACCACTTCTAAAACTAGACCTAGGTGGGTAAAGAAGAAGGTCTGGGGAAACACATGGTCTTTTTATAGTGAATATTTTATCTGTCCTAATTAGTACAAAATCAGACATGAGAATATTCTCATTGTCTTATGTCAGTTTAATTCTGCAGCACATCCTGATTACTAAGTGACAACTTTACTCCATCCTAGAAAACATTCAGAAACTTCTCCTGAAAGGTTAAAGAAATTCTGATCACTTGATCACTTGAATACAATACATCCAAGAAATTCTGGTAGTTGAAAATCTGGGGAGTGGCTAAAATAACAGAGGCCAAGCAACGAAGCCAGGTCTTGGAGAACAACTTCTTCTTATTTTTAAAAAGTGTTCCCACGCATGGGCTGGAGTGATAGCACAGCGGGTAGGGCATTTGCCTTGCACGCTGCCGACCCGGGTTCGATTCCCACCATCCCATATGGTCTCCTGAGCACCGTCTGGAGTAATTCCTGAGTGCATGAACCTGGAGTAACCCCTGTGCATCACTGGGTGTGACCCAAAAAGAAAAAAAAAGTCTTCCCACTTATTAGGAAACAATGTCATCCTCAAGGTTATAACATATAAGTTAAAAGCATCAACTTCCTCTTAACACAAAGGAGCACTTTATTTTTCTATGGCAAAAATCCTGATTGGAATCTTCTCATCAAAGAAATTTTGTTCAAGATTAGTCAAATTCATAGTTTTTACAGCACAATTCTGCTGATTTGGTAAAAGAAGCATCTATTTCCAGACTGCTGAGGATTCTCATGTAGCACATTTGCCATCAGAAATAAATTTAACTGAATAAGATACTAAATGAATTTTTTTTGCAACCTGAATGGAAATTTCCAGTCACATACTTCATTTCAGATTCTTAAAAGTTATATTAAACTTTTCATAATTAAACAAAGACCTCTTTATAATGTGTTATCCCAAATTACTCTTCTAAATTATTTATTTGGTATGCCTTAAAAAATAAGAATGAAGGAATATTGGTATCTTAGTAATTGGCATGGTGTGGTAACTTTGTCTCACTAAGACATATAAACATTTAACTCTTGTTTTTAAAATAGAAAACTTTATAATAGAACATCATTTAAAATTTTAAAAATGATTAATAAACCTTTAAAAGAAGTTAATAGCATGACCTTAAAAGAAGACTTAGAGGAGCTGGAGTGATGGTTTATGGGTAGGTCACTAGCCTGGCAAGCTGCTGACCCGGGCTCAATCCCTGACATCTCATATAGTTCCCCAAGCTTTACCAGGAGTGATTCCTGAGTGAAGAGCCAGAAATAGTCCCTGAATATCGCTGAGTATGATGCAAAAAAAAAACCCTCCCTCCCCGAAACACACACACACACACACCTTAGAGATGGAAAAAATATATAGGTGTGCAGGATGCTACAACAATCCAAGGAGGAGTAGTAGCACTAGGGGACACATTCTGTTTGTTCTCGTAAGATTTTGGGGGGAGGGATGCTGAGCAATTATTTTTCTAAAAAGGAATCAGAGGGGCTGGAGGGATAGCACAGCAGGTAGGGATCTTACACACAGCTGACCTAGGTTCGATCCCAGTGCCCTATATAGTCCCCAGAGCCACCAGGAGTGATTTATGAGCACAGAGCCAGGAATGAGCCCTTAGCACCTTTGGGTGTGGCACAAAAACAAAACAAAAAGAAGTCAGCACCCAATAAGTTTGGAGACCTGTGGTATGATTCAAAGACCATTCGGAGAGCCCGGCAAGCTACCGAGAGTATTCGATATGCCAGACACAGTAACAACAAAGTCTCCAATGGAGACGTTACTGGGCCCGCTCGAGCAAATCGACGATCAACGGGAGGGCCTTTACCTTTACCTTTACCATCCAATACATAATTAGAAAATAAAACTTCTTGACAGTTCTCCCCAAATTACAAGGGCAAACACAATCTTCCATCCCATCATACTCTCCTTACACTTACAAACCCTCAACACATGAATACACACATATACACACACACACACACACACACACACACACACACACACACGCACACACTCCAGTCCTGGAACAGAGATAATACAGGAGTTATGGCACTTGCCTTGCATTCAGCAGACCCCAGTTTAATTCCTAAAACTATGTATGATCCCCAAGTACTACCAGTAGTCACTCCTGCACAGAGCAACAATAAACCTAAGCATAGCCAGCCTTCAACTCTCCCCCTTCACCCTCCACCTCCCATCACACACACACACACACACACACACACACACACACACACACACTCCAGCCCTTTCCTCCCAAGGCTCACAGAAACTCCTGGAAAATAATGTTTGCCAAAGAGACCAAAGGAGAAAGCATTTTATACCATCCGCCTTCCTCCTCAATCTCTTCCTGCATGAGGCCTACACAGTAACTCCTCTCTGTTCCAAGTTACAAAGGTAAAACTCAAAGACTGCAGACACTCACGAATGATGATGGGCGAAAGCCCTTTGATCCATCTTTCTGTGGTGCCCACTTGCAGTCAGAATTTACCACCCCTTCTTCTCTTATAGGACCATTGATTACAAAAACCAAAGGATATATCTGAAGCAGAGGCAGAGGTTTCAGTATATCTCATTTCTGTGACACTATCATTCAGCAAACGTCTTAATATAAATCAGGCACCGTACTAATGTTGATCCTAAGATCAACACAACTCTTCCCTGCCTTTTCACTATTGCTACCTCATGTCAGCTCCCATCACTCACTCACCTAATTACAAGTCTTGCCCAAACCCAATACATTCTCCTTACTGTTTCAAGAATTCGTTTTCCAACAAAAACATTTGATGGTGTCCCTCGGTTCTCTTTAAAAATTTTTAATGCTTTCCCTCCACACTCAGTAAAATCCAAGCACAAGTAAGATGTACAAGACTCTATACTCTAACATCTCCCTATTTTTTCAGGCTTATCTTTTGCCATTGTTCTCCCTGAAATTCTCTGGAAAAGCCAGGTTTTTTCTGTTATAGGAAAACCCTTATTCCATCTATACTATCTCCTTCCCACTCATCATCAGAATCCTACCCTAACTGGGACAACCTCTCAGAAGGCTCTCTAACTCAGACTGGGTTAGATTTCCTACTGTAATTAAAATGTTCATAGTATCTAATCAGCACATGGGTCTTACTTTCTTCTCCAATAACTGACACCTTTGTGCCCACATCCCCATGCCCCATAAATTTAAGTCAGTGGCTCCCAGAAGCTCTTGTTTTCACCAATTAGACTAGGATTGAACCCATGGATCAATAAAATTCTCTCCGAGGAATTTGGAGTAAGAACTAGTGAGTCACACACATTATTTTGATAAGTCATAAACACATCAACTCAGGAGCACTTCGGGGACTGGCCTGATTTTTCAGTGGGATGATTAAGCAGGAGGCTAGTCTGTGGAGAGAAAAAGATAAGCACAGACACTGTGCCAAGAAAAGTTCTTTAGGGGCTCACAAAGGTTTCCTGGACCTTGCTTCCAGAAGCATTCTGACATATTTCTACATCTTTATAAAACATCTTTTGTTTCAGGAAGAACTGATTTCAATTTTGCTCCTTATAATCAACATGTGTTAGTGAATCCAAAACAAAAACAAAGAAGTGAATTCTTGGGCTGGTGAGATAGTACAGCTGGTAAGACTTCTGCATTGCACAAGACTAACACAGTTTCAATCCTCAGCACCACATTTGGTTCCCACCCAAACCTTCCAGAGTGTTCTCTGAGCACAGATCCAGGAGTAAAACCTAAACACCACTAGGTGTGCCCTGCCCCCCACCACCAAAAAAGAATGGTCTGACCTCAGATAAGGGTTGACAGACTCAGCAAAGCCACTAAGAACTTGCTTTGTCCTTGGACATGGGAAGAAATTCTTTTGCTTTTTCTTTCTTTCTCTACTCAATACTCCCTACCTGTTCCATCCTCTCCCATCCTCCTTTCCCTCTGGTAACCAACATTCTCGGCCTATCTTTTGTTTTCTTTGTTCATTTACTTCCTTTCTTAATCTTCCAAACATTAGTGAGATCCAAGATACTTGAATTTCTCCATCTGATGTATTACACTCAGCATAATACCCTCAAGGTTCAAAAATAGCAAGGCTTCCTCTTATTGCTACAGCTAAGAAATATTTCATGGTGTATACATACCACATCTTGGCTCCTCTCTCATTTGTTAAAGGACATTTAGATAGTTTCCATATCTTAGCTACTGTAAGCAGTGCTGCAATGAGTATAGGGGTACATATATATCTTGGAATTAGTAGTGGTGTATTGTTTGGATAAATACCCAGAAGTGGTGTTGTTGCTGGATCATATAGTAGTTCTACTTTTAATTTTTTGAGGAATCACCATACTGCTTTCTATAGTAACTATGTATGCGGTGTGGGATTGTGTGTATTTGTGTGGTGTGTGGGTGTAAGAGAGAGATGAGCTCCCTGGTTTAATCCACATCACCCACAGAGTGAGCACCTGCAATCATAAAGGGAATACAAACAAAGAGAGGTTCTGAACAGGGAAAGCAAGCTTGGGTCAGCTGTCCCTTCCTCCACAGCAACTCTTCAAATCTCAGGATCCTCAGGATTGGGAGGGACTTTAATATTTCACCAGAACCTTTATCCTTTTCTTGGTCAAAAATCACAGAACCCATTTTTTATTTTTTATTTGGGGGGTCACACCCAGCACCTGAGGTGATTTTCAGAAGAGGAACAGGGCCTTCCACCATGCAAAGCACATGCTCTGGTGCTTTGAGCTAGATCCCTGCTCCTTCCCCCACTGTGTTTTGATAATTTGGTTCCTTAGAATATGGGTTATCTGGGTTAGGGAGGTGACTCCATGGGCTAGACACTCTGGATGCAGGAGACCTGGGAACCACAGCAGCCCCAGGACGGCTTTGTTCCCCAAGCACAGCCAGAAATAGCCTAAAGCACCACTGCAAACCAGATATATATATGGACTGGGGAGATAGTGCAGTGGTCAGAAGCACATGAAAAAACCTAGAACCAGAATTCTAACCCTGGGGCCACATGCTCCCCACCCCAGCACTACTGGGTATGGCTCAAGGAGCTCCAAGCACATCGGGGTGAACTTGGGGATCTGGGTACGGCAG